CAGTTGAGTTGTAGAATGACTTTAGGGAATCCTACATGAGGAAAACAAAAGATAATTAAAAGTATAGGAAAAAAGAAAAGAAAAAAATAAATGTCAAAAGAGATTCTGATACTTGCCCTTGATCATAGAATAGCTAAAGTAAAATGAGTAAATAATGAAATAAAAGAGGTCAATGCCAGATTTCAATGCATGGCTTCAGAAGATAAAGTAAAATTCAAAGACCTAGAGTTAGAAAACCAGAAGGGAAAACACACCTGACATTTCCTAAAATGAAAGAACTGAAAAGCAAATGCAAGCAAGTTGCGTGTAAACTGTTTGGTTGGTTGTGGGTTTGTTTGTTTGGTTTTATTAATAATCAAGTGCAAGCTGATTGGTTATCTGGATTTAATTAACAATCAGCTCTGGGCTGGAAGCCTCTTGTTAAGTCAGTCATGACCTGGTGAGCATGCCTTTGTATTTAAGAGTGAGTTGGGCCCTGAGGCCTGCAGAGCCAATTGTCTTTGGGGAAAACATTGTTCTAAGTGGTATAGCATTTGTCTGCCAGTTTTCTGTACTGAGATAAGTTGGGATTGATGTGATACTGAACCTTGTGCCACTGGTGTGTCAAATTCCATGGTGGATAGGATTTGGTAGAACTTCCAGAGTAAGATAGACTTGGAAGTAGGATTGACATTCACTTCTTAAAGAACAGGCCTTTGTTAGCCCTATGAATATTAGAGAAATGACAATCATTATAGAACAGAGTTCAGATCTTTTGTTTACAGGGTCATTGTGAGTCATACGCTACTTCACAACACCAAGTAGCAATATTAATGGATTTCATGGGCAAAATCCCTGTGAGTTAGAATCAATTAAATAGAATTGATTAACTTTTTTTTTAGTGATGGGTGAAATATTGAACAATGCTAAAATAAAAAGAAGAGAGAGGGAGTACATAAAGTCACTGTTCAAAAAGAAAAAAGTTGATTGGCATTCAGCCATTCTAGGAGATAGCATATCACTAAGAACTGATAATTCCAGAGGAAGAAGCCCACATAGTACTGAAGACACTGGTGAAGAACAAGATTTCAGGAATTAACAGATTATATATTAAAATGTTTCAACAAAGTACCCAAAGTAATATAATGGCTAAGGAATTAAAACATAGGCAAAATTTTGAACTCTTACAAGTTTACAACTTTGCTCTGTGCTACTTCCCTTTGATCCTAAATTCTTGTCTTTGTGTAAAATAGGTAACAATATCATTCTTCTCCTTCATTCTTTATTTTTATATTCAAGAGACCTAAATGTGAGAAAATGTAAACCAGTAAGCTCAGTGCAAATGGAAAGTTTTGACTTTGAAACAAAATTTGTGATTTTGTTTTAAAATACAAAGAGCATAAAAAAAATACAAAGAACATGATTTAAGACTATTTCCCATATATAAAATTAGAGCAATTCTAATAGGTTTTAAAATTAATTAATCTTTGACTAATAAGGAGGGGTCAGTCCTTAGAGAGAGACATCACGTTTGGGAGGGTGGAGGGACAGTGCAAGAGACGAAGACCCTGGATGACATGCATCAATTCAGTGATTGGGGTAATGGGGGTAGGTCTGTCAGAGACAATAAGGTTGGCACAGGATAGAGCAAGGTTTAAGGCTGTTGTACATAGATATTCCATGAGTCACAAGGGACTCAATGGCATATAACAACAGCTATAAAAATCGCATACACTGATTATAAATCCAATTATAGTAAGTTTCATTATACTTTCATAATATTTAAAACATCATTTTATAACATAATTATTACAAATAAAATGACTAAAGATAAAAATACAAACTAAAAACTCTAAGAATATCATGCCCTCTTTTTCCCTAATTTGCATCTTGTTGATACTATGTATATGCTATATGAGCAAAGCTTTCCTTCAGTGTAAACTTATTTCCTATTTTAAAATTTTCAAACAATATTATTTATTTGCTACTTTCCATATCAACTATTCCTTGAATATATTTATTTCTAACTTTACCTTGGACATATAAAATTAAGGTCAAAAGTAGTTCTTTTTTAGTTTAAAAGTATTATATTTTAGGGCATTATGTTTATCATAGGAGTACGGAGTACGGAATGAGAGTTGCAGAGTGGATTATATTTGGGGTTGGGGGTGGGGGATGTGTGTGTGGGGAATTGTGTACCAATGAGGGAGTTTTTCTTTTGCTTTTCAAGGAGAAGAGCAGACGGGGGTGGGGGGTCGACGGGGAGAAGGGTGCAACAATGAATGAATGGAATTCCAAAATCTCTGTAGATGTTCATTGAAATGAAAAATAAATTAATTAATTTAAAAAAATTAAAATAGTAGTTCTTTTTTGCCCTGTGGTGGTAGTTGTTTTTAGATGTCTTTAAGTACTACTCATGACGACCTTATGAACAACAAATCTGAACCCTGCCCTATCCTGTGCCATTCTCATAATCTCTCAAACTCCTGACTCATTGCAGCAGTTACTCCACCTGGTCAAGGGTCTACCTTACTTTCGTCATTACTCCACCTTTCCAAAGATGACGACCCTCTCCAAAGAAAAGCCTCTCCTAGCAACATGTCAAAAAAATGTGATGTTAAGTGTATTTAGCTTTGCCTCCAAGGAGCTCTCTGGCTGCATCTTCTCCAAGAGAGATCTTTTTTTTGGGGGGTGGGTGTGTGTTTTTGTTTGTTTTTATATTCTTCAATCCACAGGATATTCAGTGCTCTTATCTAAAAACACATTTAAAATTGATCATTTTTTTCTTCTGTCATCCTTATTTCCCTCATTGTGGAGTTAACCATTAGTTACAGTGTTGTCCCTGCCCTTATGTCAGTGTGTTGACCCACTTATTTCCCACCTCCACCCTCCACCAGGATATACCTTCAATTCTACCGAATCCCTTCAGCATTTATCTTCCATTGTCCAATACTTAATCTGACAGCTTGTATCTGAAGTTTTCTTGGCTTCTGTGATTCCAAATACGTGAGCTGCTGACAATTTCTTATGCTGTGAACAGTGTCTCTTAAGTTTAGTGGTAATGTCTCTGAGGGAGGTTGATGTGTCCTTTAGAACCGGTGCATCCCTCAGGCCAAACGATCTTGGCACAGCCTCCGGTCTTTTGTACTTGTGGGAGTGTTAAAGCTCCCTGCATCCCCCGCCCCAAGTCCCTTCTCTATTGTTTCTCCCCTCTTCTGCCCGAGCACTCCAATTACTGTCTCACTCCACTTGCCCGCTGAACTATCAAGTATGGAAATACAAAGGAGGAGGAACAGTTGTAAGCAGACCCTAGTGATTGG